ATCCTTTTCTAGTGATAAAAAAAATTGATACCTGAAAAAACTTTTGCCCTCCGCAATCGTAACTTTATAGAGCCACAGTCATATGTTATTAAAAATATGTTACTTTAATAGTTTAATAGCTAACGACTTTTTCTAACACTTTTAAACTTTTTTTAAAAATTAACTCTCTTAAAATTCTAAATACACCATAAACAGTTATATGACAGGAAAGAACTATTTACTTTAAAAAAATTTAACTTTTGCTTCTTATCCAATATCTCATCTGCTCAGTTCACCTTGAAAGGATAGTTTCTATTTTTGCAGGATGCAGTTTACAAAAGCGCTGTATCTTAGTGTATGCATCTTAGACAGCATGCGCGTCTTGGAAAAGTCTGAAGAAAAGAGAGTTTCGAAGAGTGACAACACAGGCATAAAGAATCTCATACCCTAATTCTATCAAATTGAGTAAAATAGCATTCATTATACTAAGCGTTAATGTAACAGTTGAATATGATGTTTGTTCGTCTTATTTAGAATGCGTAGCAGTGATTACTTACTACGATGTGTTAGTTTCGCTTGAATAAGTTGTATAGAATCAGAAAAAGCATACGTAAACAGAGAGGAATAGTTGAAATTATTTTCTGAAGAATAGAGAAAAGCAAGACAGAGATACTGAGTAAAAACATATAGAAAAGCGAATAGAGAAACATGTTATTCATTATGCTAGTCTTGTTTAATTTGTATGGTATCGTTAGGGTTTGCTTTGTGTTTCATAAATCAACATATAACCCACACGCAAAGTATAAATAAATGCTATAGGCTCATAAATGTGATGAATAAATACCTATCATATTTTTCATCGTAGATAATTCCAATCAATGCATTGCTTTTAGATCAGGTATTTTTTTGATTAGTGGTGCTGATGTAGGCCAAATTGTAGCTGTTTAATAAATAAAGATCAGTTACTCTAGTTTAAAGACTGAATTAGATAATGCAGTAAAGTCTAAATATATATGCAGCTTGTTCTGGGTTTTTCGATCCCTTCAGTTATTATTTACCCTATAAGATGAGAAAATCATTTGAAAAAGTCTTTGTTAAAAACTCTAGACAAAATTTTATTGATTAAGGCTCAACCGGTATGAGTTTGTAGCTTATTCTCCGATTAATAACTTTTGTTTCAAAGTTATAGTTCGATTCCGAACTTCAAGTAGCAAGAAGACTCTGTTTTCGGACTAGGACTCGTTTTTCTAGGTATTTTGCGTGTATTGGTTCAAATTAGGAACAAAAAATTGCTTGTGGTTCGAATTTAGAAGGTGCTCCCAACTCGAACCAGAGACATGTCTAAAGATAGTTCCATATTTCTGCATAGAAATGATATTAATGGCTGAGTCTCCGGAATTATACTCAGTTTGATGTGGCGAAACTTTTTCGTTCCAAGAGTATATTGAAAACCTGACATTCGGGTGACAGGAACCAGCGCTTTTCCGAAATTTTGCAATATTTTGCTTGATCTGCGCTGGCTGGTTCGAATTAGGAACATATATTTCACGTTTGGTTTGAATTAGGAACAGCGCTCCTAGTTCGAACCTGACGACTCATCATCAGAGTATCGATTAGAAACCTCTCAGTTTTGATGAGAATTAGAAAATGTTTACACCATGGTGTAAACATTTTGTTTGTTTTCAATTTACATTAAGTTCACTATGCAAAAAATAGGTTGAACTATTTGGAAATAGTTCCAGTTTTTATATGTGTCAATCAGATTATTCAGGAAATTTCGAAAAATGATTTGTTGATTTATTGATTTTTGTTGAAAGTTAAGTGACTTACATGCCTCTTCCAGGATGATAACAATGATGTTATTATCGATATGCATTATTTTGAATAGGATAGTAATATGAATAGCTTCTTTTCGATGAAAGAAAATACACGACTCGTTATAATACAAGTGAAAGAATACACAACGTCATATGCATATGGCCTCTCAACTTGAATAGTTTTTTTTTTCTGTTCTATAGAACAGAAAAACTGATGAAAGCAAAATCTTTTCTTGCTTCTCACTTTACCCCACAGAAGTGAGTATTGTTGTTTCAGAAAAAGCTCTCTTAGCTCAATTTTTCTCCCATTATCATACTCATTCGCTTTCTTTCTCTATATAAGAACAGAATCGTTAAATGCTCAAATTATAAGCAAACATAATATCGTCGCAAATAGAAGGAGCTATCCTCTAAAAAAATAGATATTCCATTAGCAACTGAAATTTAAAAAGGTGAAAAACCCCTTACTAAATCTTTTAAAGGGTTCCGTATATTTGCTTTTCCCGAATCCTTTTTAGGCCTTTTAAAATGCCTATTTTTTTAGAGAGCATTGGACTAGCGAGATGATTTTATACTTCGTAATATAAAAAATAATGTGTGTTGTCCAAGAAAGCTAGGGAAAAAATTAAAAACTTTTTACTAGACAAAAGTGTTTCGAATTAGGAACAATCGCTGTATCTTTACAATAAAGATAATTTTCCTCTGAAATGTTTTAAGTTCTACTCTCCGCCCCAAAATACAAGGCCGTCGGTTGCTTCTTGAATAACTTTTGATAGAAGATAGATAGCGACCTGCAATTTTCCATAATCGAAAGTAGAACTTTCTGCAAGCAGAATCGGTTTTCGAAAAACTTTCCGAAAGTCATTTTCCAAAGAATTTTTAGAAAACCAGCTTGGATTTTCTCAAAATTCAAATACCAATCTACTGATCTTTTTACATAGACAGATAGTCCAAAGTTTTCTCTACAAAACTGGAACTAAGCGACAACTTCAAAACCAATGGTTGAGGCGCTTTCACCGGTTGCTTTATCAATACGTTTGGGATTATCAGAAATGCATGAAAGCATAGTATATCGACTATGCTGAGCCTCACGGCAATGTCTGTTTTTAGAAAAAAATCTAGAACTTAGCATAACCTAAGTTTTACGAAACCTAGCCCTGTCTGGCTGTTCTCAATTAATATTAAAAAGTTCGTAACTCACTCAGAATACATCAAAACCACTAGTTGAAAACTTCAGGCCATACAGTATTTGAACTGCTTTGTATTCTACATATAAAAGAATCTACAAAAAGAATCTAGAGAACTCCGTGTTTTTCTGCAAAGGCCTCTAGAAAACCGTTGAAAAAATATTGTCTTTTAAAATTTCTCGCTTCCATAATGACATTTAGTGGACAAAATTAATCATATCCTGAAGTTTTCAAGTAGTTCTGATGTATTCTGAGTGAGGTATGAATCTTTTAATTTTAGTTGAAAACAGCCAGAAAGGACTAGGTTTCGTAAAACTTAGATTTCTCTAAGTTCTAAATTTTTTTCTAAAAACAGGCATTGCCGTGAGGCTCAGCATAGTCGATAAACTATGCTTACATGCATTTCTGATAATCCCAAACCTATTGATAAAGGAATCGGTGAAAAAATTCGTAGCGCCTCAACCACTGTTTTTCTTAAACGTCTGAACCGAAGAGTATTAGGACCACCTGATGAGACCGTTGAGCATCGGTTGAAACGCCTCGTGTTATGTTTAAGCAAAATGCTTCTGTCATGTCTTGAAACGAACAGGAAGATGCGGCGTTTTGTTTTTCACTGGAGAGAGTATATAAAGTCAGTCCTAGTGTGTCTTTGCGAATATTGTGTGTCAGTTTCGACCAGTACCAGGAGATACTTTGAGATACCTTATGCCCTCACCATAGCGAAGATGAAATACCCTTTTTCTTGTTTTTATTTTACGAGCTATTTCCTCTCACTGTTGTTAGTAATGTCCGAAGTGGGACATACTACAAGAGACATAACGATCATTTTCCTGAGAAGAGGAATCTATGATGCAAAAGTGAAAAAATAAAAATAATACAGGAAACCGAGCGTAAAAAGAAAAATCACGTCAGCCGACGGCTGCTATTTTTCTTTAAATATACAATCTAATGACTGATATACCAAAAAATAGTAGGTCGGCATGTATGTATATTTGTGTATGAAGTCCTAAAGAATGTACTTAATGCCAGTACTTGATTACTTGCTAAGTACTTGTCAATGATCGAAATACTTGCCTTATCGCTAAAAGACAAGTACTTACAAGTGTATTTGCTTCTGGAAGAAAGACAAATACCGGCTTCATTACGCAGACGAAGTACTTGGCTCCAAGTACGTTCTCTAGGGATAGCATCGTGCCATTCTCCATAAGTTACTTTTCGAGTTCAGATCATATTGATCGGAGTAGAAAAGTAATACCTTCAAGTTCTAAACATCTGAGCCGAAGAGTATTAGGACCACCTGATGAGACCGTTGAGCATCGGTTGAAACGCGTCGTGTTATGTTTAAGCAAAATGCTTCTGTCATGTCTTGAAACGAACAGGAAGATGCGGCGTTTTGTTTTCCACTAGAGAGAGTATATAAGTCAGCCCTAGTATGTCTTTGCGAGTATTGTGTGTCAGTTTCGACCAGTACGAGGAGATGTACTTTATACCTCCACGATAGTGAAGATGAAATACCCTTTTTCTTGTTTTTATTTTACGAGAAAATCCAAGCTGGTTTTCCAAAAATTCTTTAGAAAACGACTTTCGGAAAGTTTTTCAAAAATCCATTCTGCTTATGGAAAGTTAGCATCAGATGTCTACTTTCGATGATTGAAAATTGCAGGTCGCTATCTATCTTCTATCAAAAGTTATCCAAAACGTAACCGATAGCTTTCTATTTTGGGACGGATAGTAGATCAATGCGCATGTGTATATAGAAGAGGAAGGTAAAATATTAATATTATAAATCTGCTGATTATTATATTTTACAAACCAACAAGATTTTTCTGAACAGCGGAGAGAAGAAGAAAAAATCTGAATGTTTTCGGGATTCTATGAAAACTATCATTTTGGCACATTTTCGACTGTTCTCGAACGACAGAAAGCATTCCCACTATGTAACCGTTCTCGACGTTACCCATCTGCGTTTATTATAGAAATTGGTACGAACTTCTGTTCCGAAAAAGTACAATCCTGAATGGAGACAGTGCAACGGTATCAAGTCCTCTCACCTTCAACGACGAGGTATATGTTCTTCCTTTCTTCCAGCCGTGGATCTATATGTATTTGATGATCTAGACTTCGACGTCTACCAGTACTGGGTTTGTGCTGTTTGGGTCTGCTTGGTTTACTATTTGTAGGCGTAATAGTGATCGCTGTGTTTTCACAAAAACGTGATATTAATGGTCATCAACGTTAGTTTACCCCATAACTTTTAGTAAGTGAGAGAGAATTTTATTTTGCTTTTTAGACGAAAGTGGTATTATTCAAATAATTTACAATTTACCAGCATTCAATGAGTCATTGATGATTAGTGGGCAAGTACCGCAATCAAGATATGAAGTGTTGCAAAATATAGTAAGACGTAAATTCATTGAGTTAGACTGTAATAATCCCTTTCTTCTTTTAGCTGCAACGACAGTTGAATAATGCAACGGGCGGCCGTCGAGCACAACAAATAAAAATTAAAGTGATCAATGTATTCGTAAGACAACCGCAAAATATTGGAAAAAAGGTGAGTGAGTATCATCGTATTAACGGAAGTTAGCAGCAGATTTCTATATTTTTTCTTAAAGCTGTGCCATCTCTAGAAATAAGTGCGCCAGTAGAATACGATGAGCTCTATCAAGTGGCAACATCAGTTTTCGTGAATTTTGATAGAACTCGATGAGCTCTATCGATTGGTGGAATGAGTTTTGTAAGAGATTGTTTCCTTCACTTTCCTTCTTTCTTTTGTTTTCAAAATTTCTGACTTATATGGTCTGGGACAGAGGATATTACAAAGTTTTTGCCGGAGTCCATGTTCAGATAGTTGAATCGTTTCCTAACAGACTCTGTGGTTACGAGAACTTCGCGATAATTCAGCCAGAAAGCCAGACTTACAAAAACAAAGCATACGGGGCTTGAAATATGCATTTTCTCACGTAAAGTGAACCTCACTGTAACGCTAAGGTGATGCTTATGTTTGTTCGGCATTGGAAAATTTTTTTTCTACTGTAGACAAAGTTTCATCCAGAGTTTGAATATCGACTGCGATGCGATACTCAGTCGACCAGTAGCGATTGACGAGGATGACTTTACCTGAATATTTCACTGCATGTCTTTTCGGCGGTATAATCAAATCTTTCCGCGAACATCATCATTTTTTTCGTTGTTGAACTTTACTTAAAAAAAATCGAATTTATATCCCGGTTGGGATATATTTTGATGTAAAATGGGATGTATCTAGAGCATGAGACTCTACTGCCATCTCACAAAACATCATGGACTTATGTAAAAGTGGACTTTTACGTGGAATGGCGGTGGAGTAGAAGAAAAACACCAGAGACAGTGCACACCATAGCCAATAGGTGCGCACCAAGATTGAACCAAGATCAGGAAAAACGTTTTTTCTAGTTAACGTAACTAAGGATATTAGTAAGACGACTAGTGAAACTAAACAATGAAATCTAAATGCTAGATATGTATTGAATCAACAGAAAAAACTATGAGGAGTGTTTTTTGTTGACTCTTGAGAGATTTTCACATATGTACTTAATCTGAGTTGACTAGAGTGAAATATCCAAAAACATTTCTATATCACTTTCGTCGGTCTATTTTAATGGAAAGAAAAGACTAAACAGGGGCCCATGAGGTTCTTTTGGCTTGATCGTTATCGGTAACGGGCCGATCGGACCATCACACTCATGTCGATTCAAACAAAATTGCAATTAATCGTCATGTCACATAACCGTCTCGATCAGCGCAGCATTTTACTAAGATCGTGATTAAATGCTCACCCAACAAACAAAGGACTAGCCGATCGTTGATCATTCATTAAGTTTGAGCCTCAACTGACCGCGATCAGTATTTTTATCAGTTGCTCGAGACTAAAATTCAGATCGAGTTTGACTGGGGCTGAGATTTCTATTGTGGACTTATTTGTTTGCATCGATTATAACCTACATTGGCTACACTGTATCTAGTGTTTTCCTTCTACTGCAGTTCTTTTCTTTATCAAAAATCATAGTGTTTTCCAAATCAATAAAGCATTCAGTACCATTTTCGTGATACTGCGCCAATTCTGAGCCGGCAGGATCACGTTTCCTGGGAAATAAAAAGCACTGCACCCGCCCCTCATTCATACCTGATTTAACTAGAGTCCATCAAACGTACAGCTTCAACATTTATATCGAGGCGATTTTTCGATCCAGGATATTTAGCATTAACTCGTGTGTGGTGAGGAAAGTGAGCAATACGTTAGAATAAGCCATTGTTTGCCCAAGATATTTCTTCTGATATGTCTACAGTACAGGACGGTGATCCTGAGCTGCTGGTAGTTAACTTGTCTTGTCATTGAGTTAGCTTTCATGAATAGAATCTTAAACTTCTATGCTGCCGAGAAAGACCGTGCTATTACAGGTAAAATTACTTTCTGCGGTGCTTGGAATGTTCGTTTGTGTTTTATTTAAGCCCTATTCTTTCAGAATGCAAACGGAAAAATTCTATTACAGTTTTATGAACTATAGAGCTTTCGAAAAACACAAAATCGATTCTGCACGAATAGAAATTCGAATACACGAACTTACGAGGGAACCTCTTGAGGTTATAAATCGCTGTCGAACTCAGACTACTTTTATCTTGTAGATCTTAGTGAGCAGTGAAATACCCTAAGTTAGTTTGTGCCTATGATGCTTTGTTGTTGAGATACTGAATTTTAGTCAGTTTTTGCCTATGGAGCTTGGATTTTGAGCAAAATCCGACTTTCAACTTTTGATTGCAAACTTGCCACACTTGTAGCCCATGGTCATAGTAGTACGACGGAAAAATATTCGATTGTAATGAATTTTCCTGCCTTGAGATATTGAGACTCAAATATTTCACCAGAAGGTAAGGGTAAGGGTCAAATATTCGAGTCTCAATATCTCAAGGCAGGAAAATTCATTACAATCGAATATTTTTCCGTCGTACTACTATGACCATGGGCTACAAGTGTGGCAAGTTTGCAATCAAAAGTTGAAAGTCG